AAAACGGGACCGAGTGGGCGAGAGAGAGAGAGAGAGAGAGAGAGAGATTGACTCACAGCAAAGAAGTGGGACGCATTTTCCTAAGTGTGTGTGTGTGCTGAAACCTGGATATGGATTTCTTTGTTCCAGATCATGATATTCCCTGAGGGAACGTGCACCAACAGGTCGGGCCTCATCTTATTCAAGGCTGGTATGTGTTTGGCCACCTTCCTGCTTTAGCTGATGAAAAACCAAAAAGAAAATGGACAGGAACCTGTTTCTGTTTTCCCAGTTCAGAATGACCACTTTGAATTGAAACAGTACATCCAGTATCTCTGTTTGGGCTTCAAGCTGCCAGACTTGAGCTGGTTTATGAATAAGGAATACAGTGGGGGAAGTGCAGGTTTGCCCACTTACAAAGAATGCAACGATCTATAACTTTAATCATATGTACATTCTAACAGTGAAAGACAGAATCCCGAAGAAAATTCCAGAAAATCACATCCTATGAATTTATAAAAATTGATAACCATCTGATGAGGAAAAATAAGCATTCTTTGTAAGTGGGCAGACCTGCAAAATCAGCAAGGGGTCAAATACTTATTTCCCCCACTGTATATGATACATTGGATTTTAGGCAATGTAGGCACAGTGGTGCACCCTGTTGAGCATGATTTAAAGGAAACATATTATGCAAAACCAAGTTTTTAATCATTTGATTGTGTACATTTGGGACTGTGGAGGGCCTATCAGCAGGCAAAGTGTGAAAAAAAATGACTGGGTCATGTTTTTTTGGGCTGCCTCAGTCTGAATCCAGGAGATAAATCAGGAGGTTTCAGGAGTGGGTAGTTTCTGACGTCATTAGCTCTAGCTCATTATAATATTCCAGCCTTTCACCTGCATGTTGCCCCCCCCCTCAGCTTACTCCGCCTATCTGTGCGGACTTGTAAAATGTATTCGTGTAACGGGAATAGCATGCTACTTCTAGATTTTTATAAGCAGTAAATGACACAAACAGCGGTCATATTTACATTTAGTCAGCGACCATATTTACCTGACGTACAAACATACACATTTTTAAGCGTGGTAGCGTTATCTTGGTAGCGTTAGCATGGTAGCGTTAGCGTGGTAGCGTTAGCATGGTAGCGTTAGCATGGTAGCGTTAGCGTGCCGACGTGGGCACACCTCCCTG